TTGATGGTTTCCCATCGGAGCAAATTCTATTTTGTAACTTGTATTAAATCTGTCAAGATTGGCTGTCACTTATGGTGAGGACTTGACTTCTTAGAACAGATGTGACTTATCACTGCCTTCTTTCAGTCTGGTGGTGGTGGTGTTTTTTTCCAACCAACCTCAAGAAGGTTTTGCTTCAAAGTAGCTGAACCAAACCTGGAGTGGCAGAATTGTAGAAATCTTTGAATTACTCACTGCAGGAGAGGCAAACAGAAGCCTTTCTCAACTCTGTTCCTGATATTCTGTAGCTGTAAAATGTAAAGGAACTTTAAAATTGCTTTCTTGAAGGCACAATTCCTTGGGTAGTAATAATTTGATGCCGTTTTCATGTGTGCAGGCAGAGCTTAGCTGTAGCTCATTTTATATTAAGACCATCTCTCATAAATGTTAGGCAGTGTAGTTTGGCTGATATATTTTTTTTAAACCATTAAGCAAAAAGGTTCACGTTGCATTTATGCATAAAAATCAGCCAAGGGTTTGATTTTGAGATCCTGTGTATCAGCAACTTTCTGGCAGATGCTAGAGTCTCCCAAAGTAAACCTATTTTCAGAAGTTATACGAGAAGGGATGTTTTGTTGGATCAGGTCAATAAATAACGTTTTTTTCCCATTTTTTTTTTAAAAAAAACCTTTTTTTGCACCACCTTACAAAGCCTTAGTAAGGCCACACTTCTGCATCTAGTTCTGGTCACCACAAATATAAAAAAGATGTTGAAACTCTGGAAAGAGTGCAGAGGAGAACAACAAAGACAATTAGGGGGCTGGAGGCTGAAATATATGATGAAATGGTTGCAGGAACTGGATACGTTTAGTTTAACAAAGAAAAGGACTGGGGTGACAGGATAGCAGTCTTCCAATATCTAAGAGGCTGTCAGAAACAAGAGGGCAGACTCACTAGAAGACTTCCAATGTCCCTTCCAGATCTATTAGTCTATGTTCTATGTCCAGGCTTTCCCACAGATTTTCAGGAAAGACTTTCCTATATCCCGATATCGCATTCTTTTGCAGCAAGTAACCCAAAACAAATGCAGAAATGCAAGGACGGGATTCCCTGGGTTGGTTGCGGTATTTGTGAAAAAAAGATACATTGGAGGAGTGTTTGACTGCAAGATTAAATGGGAGCCAGCAGTTGTGATGTAGCTGCAAAAAAGATTAAGACAGATTTGGATGACATCAATAGATACAGCCCTTTGGAATCATAGAAAGTACTTGTTCTGGTTTATTTTGCACCGATCAGAGCTCATAGCAAACACTTGCCCAGTTTAACATACTTTAAAGGGAATTTAGAGAAAATAGAAGTTCGAACCCAGGTTGTAAGCATCCATGTGGCACAGTGGTTAGATGCAGCGTTGCAAGCTAACTCTGCCAACTGCCAGGGGTTCGATTCTGACTGACCCAAGGTGGACTCAGCCTTTCATCCTTTCCAAAGTCAGTAAAATAAGGACCCAGATTGTTTGGGGGGGAAGAAACTGACTCTGTAAACCGTTTAGAGAGGGCTGTAAAAGCAGTATGAAGCGGTATATAAGGCTAAGTGCTCTTGCTAACCCCCAGGTAGGTCCATCACAACTTCAAACAGTCAGTAAGCAACTGGTTGCAAGTCAAGGACTACCTTTATGTTCATTGTTCTGTTGATCCTCTAAAGGTTTTTAAAAAGAAAGCTAAGGCTCAGAGGCATCCTTGGGAAGTGAGTGTGGCTTAAAAACCTAAGAATCCGGCCCTGGCCATGCAGTCAAAGCTCCTCCATTTTTTGACATCTGACAGGCCTGCCCCACATGTAAAAAAAGGGGGGGGGCTTTAGTTGAACAGCTGCAGTTCTAGAACAACCTGAACCTCTTGAGCTCAAAGGCTGGTGATTGTCACAGCACATTTTTCCTAGAACTGAGCTTTTTTCAGCGGGGAGAAATTGGAAGACTCTTCAAGCCCATGTTTTCACTTGCAGACCTGGGGCAATTATCCTTCTCTTTTCACCTTTCTGCAAATGTTGAGTTCGAGCGGTTGGCTCAGAACAACGTTCATTTAAACGGGTATGTTAGATTTAGAAGGCATGCCACAATGCACGTGTTTCATTAGCTACTCATAAAAAAGTGGGTTTGAGATTTTCTAAGAAAAAGCCAGTCCCAATTTAAAAAAACGTAAATCAGGATTTCCTATAATAATAATCTTTGATTTGGAAATGGAACAGTGTTTTATTGAAATAAGTATACCTATGCAACTGATAAATGATTTGTTAATCTATGCATGGAGATTCTATTTATCCGTCTATCACGTTCATCTATTCTATCCATCTATCATACCTTTCTCTCTCCCTCTCTTTATCTGACTTCTATCATTTATATCATTATCTATTACCTATGTGTCATCTTTTTGTATCTATATGTCCGTCTATGTCTCTGAATTCTTCCTTCCTTCCTTCCTTCCTTCCTTCCTTCCTTCCTTCCTCTATTTGAAAAATCCCTCTATAGTTTCTAAACCTTTTACTTCTGATTTTCCTACTTCTTTTTCACATGTTAGATTGCTAGCTGAAAACTAAAGGAGCTGCTTAATATAATACAGTTCTGGCCAATTAACTCCAGCTATTATGGCTGAATGCTTTGAACATCTACAGAAAGCCTTCCAAAAGCGTTCCAGGGTCTTTAATGCCTTTAATGACTAAGCCTATTTACTTCACATTCCTGAACCCCGCAGAGGGCTGCATGCGATGGCCAAAATATGGCCCAGCAAATAAGGAAGAGCCACTCCTGATTTGTCATGATGGGACTCCGAGTAGTTGTGGTCCCATCACACTTGTGAACAGGGTGGGAGTTGTGCAGACGTAGCTTGTGGGTGCTGCTGATCGAAGCAGAGTCAGTCCCAGAGGGAATCCGTGCAGGGGTGGCCTTCAAAAATTTTAGCAATGGGTTCTCTGCCTGGTTGCTGGGTGGGCGTGGCCTAGTCGGCCTCCTGCACCATGGTGGGGGGGGGGTTCTCCCTCCCCAGGCTCCGGAGGCTTTCCTTGAACCTCTGGGAGGGTGAAAATGGCCACCACGGACTCTGGAGGCTCTCTGGAAGCTGGAAACGGGCCCATTTCCGGCCTTCCCAAACTTCCGGGAGGCCCATTTTTCTCCCTCCCCGAGCCTCTGCGCACCCCCTGCACTTATCTGCATCCAAAACGGGCCCTATGGGGGTTCCTGGGAGGGGAGGGGACGGGCAGGATGGGTGGGGCCAGCCAGGAGTGGGATTTGGAGGCTTCTTCGAACTGCACTGAATCTTAGCTAAGGGCTCCCCTGAACCCCTGCGAACCTCTTAGCAGCCCAGCCCTGGATCCACAGGGTAGGGAGTCAAGTGTAGCAGCTTTGAACACAGGACACATGTAAAAAAATGGGGTGTGAGCTTGGACCCCGTTCATCTTTTCTACGCTCATCTCCAAGAATTTTTGGAAAGGAAATTGCTAAGGAATCCTAGGGTTGGGCTAGGTTGTGGGGCGGAGGGGGAAGCTTCCCTGGGAAAGAAATAGGAAGTCATTTCTCTGTTGCTGCCAGAGGTTCAGAGTTCAGAGGTCTGAAATCAGGGCCGGACTGCTGCGGGCTTGCAGGGGTTTGCAAGAGCCTCTAGCTAAGGTTCTGCACTGTTCACACACACACGGCGTGGTGCAAGAGGCCGACTAGGCCATGCCCACCCAGCAACTGGGCAAAGAACCCATTGCTAAAATTTTTGAAGGTCACCCTTGTCTGAAGTCACCATGAAGCCACCTGACCAGAGCTCAGCATGAGGGGAATGTTTGCTTCTGCAACATTATGTTGTGTTTGGGCTGACTAAACTGCTGTGGTTGTCCTGTCATTGTCTGTAAAATAAGATTTCTACATAACAATGCACACTTAGAAGAAATGCACGTAGGGCACCGATGATTTATAATATAGGCGCCATGGTTTATTTTCCCAGTATCAGCAAGGGTCAGATCCTCACAGCTGCTCTGATATGGTGAATATGCTCCACCCACCCCAGAATAAATGATCAAGCCATTTGAATGCAATTTTTGGATTAATTCATTGCACGAGTACTTCTCATAACAAATAACCCTGGCTGTCATTTTCCTCCATCCACATTATTTTGCTTCCTTCGGAAACAGGGTTTCTGTACCTCAGCTGCTTTAAAAGGTGTGGACTTCAATTCTCAGAATTCCCCACTCAAACGAGAAGCGCTGTTGTAATGTAAACTGTAAAGTCACAGCCAATAGTAGCATCAAACAAACTTGCCTGATCTCAAGAAGATAAGGAAGAGTGGATCTGGCTAGTAATCCCTGGATAGTTCAAGTGTCAGCTCAGTTCAAGTGTCCATTGCCTTCTGGGAGGCTGAGAGTCATCACTCCAGTTTGACTCGTGGTTGACTACAAGGTAGAAAAATGAGGTGAGGCCCCAATCTTGTTCACATTCCATGCCGTTGACCAAATTGGGGTGGTAATTTCTCTTTAAAGGGTGTTTTCTCCAGGGTAGAAAGCTCATTCCCACAAATTGCCACTGAGTGTACTGTATGCTTCTTCTGCCATGTTCTCGGTTGATCTTGACTACAACCCATTATAGAAGATCTCAGAGATCTTGGTGAGGACATCAACATAACTTGCTCCACCTCTTCCTGGATCTGTAGATTTAAAGGGGCATTCTGGAAGAATGAAGCGGGGAACCGTAACCATGCTATTGTCAAGAAAGCGACATGGATGCATCCATAAAATCACCAGGAGTTGAGCTCACCTCTGGGAGACAGGACCTTAGTGGATATAGACTTTCATCTCTAATAGTTTTCATTCATCCTCCCATCTCAAGTTAAGGTCAACTGTGTTGTCAGTTTCAGCAATCATGGTGAGAGGTCTTCTAAATTGTCCTTTCCGACTGTAAATTCTGGGGCGAGGAAATAACATTTTAATCAATGCTTCTTCTTTTTTTTCCAGAATGAAAACATTGAACAATAGAAACAAAATGATCTATTCTTTTCTCTAATTAAAACAGCCCACAATAGCCTTGGCCTTTTGTAAAATTGGGCAACACCATGGATCCTTTGTACATATCTACCACATTTCCAGATATTAATGTCTCCTTTTCAACAAACTCCACAGACAATGCAACACTTATGGATTTTTCCACCTCCTCCTGTATCCGTTCTGTCTTCATACCGATAATTTACCTTCTGGTTTGTGTTATCGGACTGAGTGGGAACACTTTGGTCATCTACGTGGTTTTACGTTATGCCAAAATGAAGACTGTGACCAACATCTACATTCTGAACTTAGCCATCGCTGATGTCCTCTTCATGTTGGGCTTGCCGTTCCTCGCCACCCAAAATGCCATCTCCTACTGGCCCTTTGGAACATTCACCTGTAGGCTAGTGACTGCTTTTGATGGCATTAACCAATTCACCAGCATCTTCTGCCTGACTGTCATGAGCCTGGACCGCTATCTTGCAGTGGTCCATCCGATTAAATCTACCAAGTGGCGCCAGCCAAGGATAGCCAAATTGATCAGTGTGGCCGTCTGGACTTTATCCTTTTTGGTGGTCCTTCCCATGATTATATTTGCTGATGTCCAGGAAGATTTTCATACCTGTAACATGAGCTGGCCTGAACCAATTGAGATATGGTCAGCTGTGTTCATCATCTACACATCCGTGCTGGGTTTCTTTGGTCCCTTGCTGGTGATATGCCTCTGCTATTTGTTGATTGTCATTAAAGTGAAATCCTCTGGGATCCGAGTTGGCTCTACAAGACGCCGGAGGTCAGAGCGGAAAGTGACCAGAATGGTGGTCATCATAGTTGTGGTTTTTGTTTTCTGTTGGCTCCCCTTCTACATTGTCAATATTGTCAATTTGATATTCATCTTGCCGGAGGAGCCCATCTTGGTGGGCATTTTCTCCTTCGTGGTGGTTCTCTCCTATGCCAACAGCTGTGCCAATCCCATCCTTTATGGATTTCTTTCAGAAAATTTCAAGCAGAGCTTTCAGAAGGTCTTGTGCCTCCACAAAGGCAATAGCATTGAAGACGGTGACCCCACCGAACTCCGGCAGGAGAAGAGCACCCATCTGAAGGACATGATGCTGCCTCAGAGGAATGACAACTTCAACGGGCACATGCTGACTAGCAAGGTGTAGAAAGTCTGTGACTTCAAGAGAGACGCAACTGGATTGAAATACATTATGGCATTTACTGCAAGGGGACTGGGACAAGAGAAGGTGATTACCTCACCTTCCAGGTTAATGTACAGAAGTTTTCTTTCCCAGCTTTTTGTTGCTGGGTTCACCCTACAATTCTGGGGGTCATGAAAAGTTTCAGCACTGGTGACCAAAAAGAACCTATTGTGCTCCTTTCATTCTTGCTCTCTCTTCCATGAAGCTTTTTACACAGGTGCACAGGCACAAAAAACTTAGTTAGACTATGTTGTACAAAGGAACAGACAATTGTTATGACTTCCATAGCAGAAGGCCTTCTCTTTGCAATTTATTACATTGCAGATGAAGGTTGGAGACTATGAGGATGATGCATCTCCCCCAATCCAACAAACATGCTACATTACTACATGAAAGCAGGCAACAAAACCTCAGCGAAAGAATAGGCTTGATCCTCAATGGGTGTAATTGCTAGTTGAGAGCTGGTTAAGGCCAAGAGGGTCTTCTTGAAATAAATTGGAGCCCTTCAAAGTTTGCCCAAGTTTTCCCTTTCTCTGGTTTTCTCTCTCAGTTGTGTGAACTGAAGAATTCCCATAACTCAAGTACCACCTTGCAAGGTCTGCTGCCCCACAGATCTCTGGCATACAGGGCCTCCAGCAATGGCTGAGACCTTCCAAGGAGAGTCTGTGACAATTCACCACAGCCAACTCACCAAGGCCAACTCGCCATGGACAACTCACCCTGGCCAATTCACAGCCAACTCACCATGGCCAATTCATCACGGCCAACTCACCACAGTCAACTCGCCCTGGCCAACTCGCCCTGGCCAACTCACCATGGCCAATTCACAGCCAACTCACCATGGCCAACTCACCAAGGCCAACTCACCATGGCCAATTCACCACAGCCAACTCACCATGACCAATTCATGGCCAACTCACCATGGCCAACTCAC